ATCAATATAGGACTTTGCCACACCTTGTTTCTCAAAAATTTTAACTCACACTTTTTATTCCCAACAGTAATAAAATATTTATTATTGAAACCTATTACATAGTAGACAAAAAAAAAATAACATTAATATTGAATGATTTAAAAAATAATGATATTATGAGTAGTCTTAATTACTTAAATATTTCTCATCTTGTCATATTTTTTTTTGGTTGTCTAAGTCAATTCATACATTTTTCTTATCATCTTTATTTAACATCAAATCTTTATATTATAACTCACAATTTAAAACAAATCGCTCAATGTTATCTATTCTTTTTTTCGTATGGGGTGTTTGTTTTAAGTTATAAAACAACATTCTTGAGAATATAATATTACAAATGCAATAATTTCACATTTACTTTAAAATTTTAATAATTATTTTTCGAGTATTTTTTATTTTCAAAATTTTATTTTATACATAGTTTTCCCTTAGTTATTCCCATATTAAAGGTGGAATCCAATATTTCTATGAAAAAAATTCGAGTAACACTAACTTCTCATTAATACTCATATTTTTATTTATTTTTATGTTTTTATAATATTTAACTAAACTAAATTTGTAAATATTCCCTTAAAATCTAATTTTTAGCTAAACATCTAAAATTAATAATTCAGAAAATATGATTCCAAAAAATACTATTTCATAACCTCAAACAAACACACACTATAATATCTCCTAAAGTGAGTGCTTGCACCGATGCATATTGGGCAATGGTGAACAATTTTCATGACAAACAAGTACTAGTACATGGTAAGATATGGAAAAGTGGTATATTATGTCATGTTTCCTATCCTTTTAAAATCACTTTATGCTATCATTATAAGTGACATCCAAATAATCACAAATTCAATTTTTTTTTTTTGTAAATATAAAAAAATTATTAAAATTGATTATCATTCATTTTTGCTAATATTATATTTTATTATATATTTTTTATTAATTAAATTATATGAGCTCTATATATTTTTTTTAAAGTAATCACTTTTTTTTAAAAAAGAATCTTCGAATAACAATTAAAAAAAAATCAAACTAAACGACTTTTCAAATAATAAAAATCGTCCAAAGAGGATGTGGCACTCATTTTTTAGCATAAGGCACCAATGTTTGTGTCACATGTCTTTGTGTGTAGCCAATGTATGTGGTGCATGCATGCAACCTTTAGAAGCATGCGACATTGCTTGTGGCGCATACATGCAATCTTCAGATGTCTTTGAAGATAAAGTTCATCGATTCTATGAGATTTGTTGTTATGTGCTCCCATTGTTGACCATTGTCGAATGCTCTGATCCACTTTTCCACCGGAATATTATCGATCCACCTTACTACATTTGCATTTGTCAATCTGATCTCTTCGCTGTAATGTTTGAATGAAGGTTTCGTTAATGCATACCACGCGTTCACAACATTCTTCCGAAACGTATTGTCTTTGATCTCTTGCATGAAACTTTGAGCGATATGTCTAATGCAGAAGACATGCGTAGAAGGAGGATCTTATCGACCATTATCAAGGTTTTTGTATGCAGGATGATATACTAACTCGAAATTATATGAATTGGTATAGGTCGGTTACAACGACACAATTTGTGTCTGACCCGAGGTGCTTGATCGATCCGCACCAACGAGTTTCGTCATCACACGCCTAGTAACCAACCTCCGCCCAACAACCAACCCAATAACATTGGCAACCCACCCAAACCCAACAATCAACCCCACAACATCACCATACCAGATACACCCAACAACCAATTAAACATGATTACAAACTCACATACACTCAATCCTATAACCAATTCATGCCACACATCAAAACACAAAACCAAAAGCATGACTCATACCACCAATAACCATATGCCACCACCACATCTTACTATAGCCCTGATGAGGCATATGATTCCACCCCATTCTACCATAGCACCCAACCAATGTACACCCAAATATCACACCACCAAAGCATGCCTTTCAAATACCACAAGAACTATTACTTCGTTTCCAAAACGATTTCAACCAACCAGCCCACCCACACGTAACCCAACCAATAGGAACTACGACAACATGGGCATCAAACTTAACTATGGCAACACTGACTACTACTAGGGAGATTTGATCGAAGATTTGTTAGATAACAATAATATTTCAGGAACCTCGCACCAACCACCTTTGGCTCAGGTGAATATTAAGAAACCTCAAACACCTTATAGAAATCGTGGGAGAGCTCGAAGGCAAGCAAATGGACCAGGGTGTGGAATCAGTGGACGTTACGATCCAGCGGGTCATTAAATTTCTCTCAAATCGTTGTGTAATTCTATTTGATGGAATAATATTTTAATTTATTTTTCATTAAATATTTTATTTATAATTATTTTTTGTTAAAATAATAAATAAATAAATAAACAAAACAACTGACAATGATGCATGCTTCTAAAGGTTGCATGCATACGCCACAGGCATTGACACCTTAAACTAAAAAATAAGTACATGTGACACATCCTCTTAGGAGATTTTTTTTGAAAGGTGATTACTTTAGTATTTTTATTAAATGTGATTATTTAAGATTTTTTTAAATAATTATTTTTTAAAAAAATCGCTCTATTCTAACATGCGTGCCTCAAATTTGGTGGAACACACTTTAGTCACACAAAAAAAAGTTTAAGAAAACCCTCTAGGATTGATCTAGTGATGGAGGCCTGGATCTTGAGAGTATATTTATTTCAAGATATTGAATTCGAATCCTACTAAATATTAACGATATTTGTGTTGGATCAATCCATATAAGATTTTAAAAAATATAAGCATTGTTCTTTCCCTATATAGTGCCTATTTAGTTTGGCTTTTCAACCACCAAACGCATGTTCACGTGTTTTCCTGTCGTGATTTAGAGAAGCTACAAAAGGTAGTTTTTTTTTGGAATAAAAATACTTTATTAACCAAAAATAGAATACAACCAAGCGATCTCTAAACGAGATCCAGCTAAAACAAGAAGATAAAACAACACAAAAACAAGCCCAAGGCATTAATAAAATACCAATTGTTTTCCTCAACTTGGTTCCCATTCTATTGAATATGGCATCTATAATTTTGGAACCAACATAGTGACAATTGCTAGCTACTTCAAAATAATAATTTTCTAACTCTCCATAGCTCATATATTGTTTCAGACAGGGCACACTTAAGGATCTTATACTTAGGAGTCTTGGACTTACTACTATCAATAACCCAATTGAGCTCAGCATCCCAACTTCCAAGATTGTGCATAATCTAGATCCAGTTCAGGACTTCAATCCAAATGTTTCTTAGATTATTACATTGGAAGAACAAATGATCCATACTTTCTGTTTCACTGCAAAAGCAACAACTATCATCATTGTGCAAGCCAAATTTTTTGAGTCTTTCCTTGGTTGCCAATCTTCTATGACAAGTCATCCATAAGGTAAATTGAGCTATTGGCCTAGCTGGATTGTTGTAGAAGACAATCCTCTATCCCATAACTTGATGGGTGTCATTCAACTCAGCATATATCTTACTAGTCTGAAACTTATTCACCTGCATACAGTTGTTCCAATTATTCAACACACCAACAATGGGCATTATCTTTAAAATGGATTTGAGAATCCAAGATGTGTTGCTCTTGATGTCCATTGTCATTATGTTTTGGTATTTAATGTAATAGCAGTGGATCAATCAAATCCACATACTATCCGCTTTCATATTGATATTCCACAAGAGCTTAGCAAGGCAAGCCTTGTCCCAGTTGCTGAGATCAATGATATTCAAACCCCCTTGCTTCTTAGGAGTGCAGGTTCTCTTCCAAGCTATGAGAGACTTTCTAGTTATCTTGTCTGTACCAGACCACAGGAAAGACCTGCAAGCTCTATCTATCTTAGAGAGTACCTTCTTTGGCAGAGGCATGCATTAGAGTCAATAATTAGAAAGAGAAAAAATCACATTGTTAATCAGTTGCGTTCTGCCAGCCAGGGAATAGAGTCTAGAGCTCCAGTGGTTGACTTTAGCCAAGATTTTGTCAATCAAAGGTAAGTAGTGGTTGATGCTTAACTTCTTGCTGGTTAAGGGAATCCCAAGGTACTTAAATGGAAGCTGGCCCTCTGAAAACTTAGTTATGTCTTGGATGCGATGTCTGACCCTTTCATCTACATTACCAAAGAAAAACGTGCATTTATCAGGATTTATTCTCAAACCTGTGGATTTGGAGAACTCTTAAAAACCTCCATCAACAATTCCACAAATTTAAAATCGCTTATAGAAAAAAATAATAAATCATCAGCAAAACTGAGATTTATAATGTTCATCTTCTCACACTTATAATGATAGTTGAAATTGGGTTTATCTTGAAGCTTCTGAAGAAGGCTATGAAGATACTCCATGACAATCACAAACAACAAGGGGGATAAAGGATCCCCTTGTCTAAGGCCTCTTTTAGCTTCCACCACTTGAGTGTAGTACCCATTCAATTGAAACTTGCAGGAGACTGTTATCACTGTAATCAAATCCACTTGATGAATTAGTGAGGAAAATTAAGCTCCTTCAAGATAGATTCCAAAGCAATCCACTCAATTGTATCATAAGCTTTTTGCAAATCTATTTGAAGCATGCACTTAGGAGCACCATTTCTAGTACTATAGCCTCTAATAAACTCATAGGAAATAAGAATGTGATTATAAATTTTCTTACCAGGCACAAAAGCAGCTTGACTACTATGGATGATACTAATTAAAGCAGCTTGACTGCTATGGAAGATCCTTGTACTCTTTCTCTGTCACCATATTACCCTTATTTTGTCTTGTGCTCTCAAGACATTGTTGTAGTTCCCAATAAGAAACCAAGCACCTGTGATACTTCCCTGAATGTTGGTTATCTCTTTCCAAAGATTCTTCCTTTGCTCTATAGAATTAGAGGAATATATTCTAGTTAACCAATGTTTCCTACTACCGTTGATGTAAGACACACTACAATGGATGAATTGAGTAGAAATGGTGAGTTGTAACCTTTATTCTAGCATCATCCCACAATATCCAAATCCTACCATTATTATGCTTGGAGTAATTGTCAATAATCTTCCATTTCTTACCAAATTTATTCCTAACTTTAACAACATCTTGAGCTTTAACTCTAGTTTCAACCAGAACAACTATCTCAGGATCCAAATGATTGAGGCGGGAGACAACCTCATGGCACTTTGCTGAGTTATTAATCCCTCTCACATTCCAAGATATCATCATGTAACTTCTAGTTGGTGCCTTTGAGGAATTCCAATCCTTAAGGCCTCAAACTCATTTTGACATTCAATAAATTCTTGATTGTTATGCCTCATGACAACTTTTCCTTTGTTTCTGGCACTGTTTCTGACATTCTCCCAGTCTAGATTCTCCTGAACCTTGTCAACAACTGGTTCTTTATGACTAGGGGGTTAACATGTTCTCCACTTCCCTCTCCTAGGTTCTCTTGCTGAATTTTGGCCTCTTGAGGGGGCTTTGGCTGCCATTGCTTCTTAGCTTTAGGTTTCCATTGGTGCCCCACTTTTTGACAGGTTTCACAAAATATAGGTTTCCACTCATACTTGACAATCTGTCTTTTTTTATTATCCTCCATGTCCTTGATTATAATGTATTTATTATGTTTTTGGGAGATATCTATCTCAACCATAACTCTAGCATAACAAACCTTCAATTTATTGGCAGTGCATTCATCAGTAAAAAAAGGGACACCCAAAGCACTACCTATTTTCCCCAAGCTCCTAATACCCCCATAAATGTAATGGAAGGTTTAGGAGTTTTATCCACACAGGGAGGGTATGCAACATGTCTCTTTTAAAGTCATAGTTGAGAGTCCAATCTTTAAGGACCATGGACATGTTTTAGATTATATAGGGCCCCCTCATCACAACTAAATCCTTATCTTGGTGGGATTTGAATTTCAGCATAAAATAGCCCTCCTCATTGTTGCACCCCAAAATTTTCCCTCCTTTTTTCTAACCTTAATTGGCTTTTGCTTTGCGTTCATCTGCATCATCATTAGGTTGTAATTCATGATCATACTTTTCATGGGATCAGGAGTTTCTGTGAGTCAAACCCTCAGGTATCAGATTTAACCTCTTCAAGATTTTTTCAGATATCAAGAGCCAAAGATTTTCACCATTAGCTTTTCATGTCCCACTTTCATCATATCATACACCGTTCTATTGCATGTCGAGCATGTGGGTTCACAAGATTCCTTCAAGGAGAAGTTACTTGAAGAATATTAGGATATTCAAGATCAATATTCCTAATGAACATGAAGTGCAAGGCTTAATTCAATATTTATTCATCTAATTTTGTTTCAAATTCTATGTTCAAGTGGAACTCAAAAGATCACAAATTCATAATTCAAGACTTCATTCATTTCAAATTCAATGGCATAAGGGAGATCCATCATTCCAAATTCAAGATTCATGAATTCAAAATTAGATTACAAAGAGATTTTTCATGACATTACAAGAATGTCACATTTGTTACAAAGTTTCTAACTCTAAGTAATGCTTAGAAAATTAAGCTATTTCTAATCTTAATTCAAGTTTCTAATCAATTTCATGCTATGGTACCCTTCATATCCCATCAAGTCCACATGTTCCTCATTATGCTTACAAACCTCCAAGGAGAATATTTAAGAGGTAACTTACCATTGGAACATTTCAAGATCAAGACTATGCATGCTTAGTCATGGGCAATTTCAATATGATCTAAAACAGTCTCATGCAAGAAGTGACAATTTGCCTCATAGCCAAATAATTCATGTCACAAAACCAAAGCGATAAACTCATGGTGAAGCATCTACACATCAAATATCAGAATTTTAAAAATTCTGTCAAAGGTAGTAACATTGACCACAAGGGCAGTCCAAGCACAAGCCAACAAATGGGTACAAGATTTGAGAGCAATGCAAATTGCAGTAGAAAAAAGACAACCTAGGCAAAGTGCAGCAGCAAAATACGACATAACAACACACATGAAAATGGAAAGAAAGATAGTGACATCAAGAAAATGGCATTGGACATTTCCATGTAAAAATCTGAAGTTTTGAAAGGAGGGAAAACCCTAATGTTTTGGGGATAAGAAGGACAATAACAGTAGAAAGAGGGGATATATTAACACATTAACACATAGAGAGATTGAGAGCAAGAGGCATTGAGAAAAAAACAGAAAAAGGCATTGATAAAAAAAACAAAAAAAGGAGAGAAACATTGAGAGCATTCACTAACCAATGAGAGAACAAGAGAGGGATAGAAAACCATAAGAAGGAGGTAGATCATAGAGCGCATCCAACAAAGGTCATTGGTGAAGGAAGATAGTAGCTCTTGGGTATCCTTCCTCTCAAACTCTTATCTCTTTATATTTTACATGCTTTATTTGTATGTTGTAATATAGTCTCAAGAGTAACCAAGAAATGTTGTAGAAAACAAATAAAGAAATGAAAAATATAGTGTAGTTTTCATAGTGAGGTGAGTTGAAAAATACTCACTTTCACTGTCATGTTCGCACTGCGAACATCCCCTTCGCCTAGCGAACAAGACTTTGTGGTACTAAAAATGCCATTAAACAGCCTGTTTTCCCTTGTTTTTAGCCAGCGAGTTGTTCGCTAGCACCTTCGCACTGCGAACTTTGGCTTCTTTTGCCTCTGTTTACGTTCACTAGGAAGTTCGCACAACGAACTTCTTGCTGTTTTTTATGGGCAGCTTCGTTGCAAGGTTTACACAGCGAACTTTAGTGCCTTTCGCTTCTGTTTGTGAATAGTGCACGTTCGCTGGGAAGTCTGCACATTAAATTTCTTGTTGTTTTCTAGGTAGCTTCACTACAAGGTTTGCACAACGAACTTCCCTTATTTTTGTTAGTTTTTTCCAATTTTTTTTTCATGTTTTGTGTTTTTTCAAGCCGACTAACCCGATGTGGTTGTATGGCCTTTGTATGTGGGTATTGTTACAGTCATTTTTTACTTTCAGTTCCAAAAACTATTTAAAAAAATAAACTCTCGATTTTATCGAGCCATTTTCACCCTTGTAAGTCGATTGCCTTGTGCGTCGCCATCGACCTTGTTCGCCTCCCTTCAAATATTTTTTTACAAACAATAAAATCCTTGATCCAACATCAAGTGGTACTTTTCTCATAAAAAACCCAAAATACAATAAAGATACAATTAGGGTTATACACTATGAGCTTTAAAGTGGTGGAGAATGAATGAGAATGGAACCCTCCTACACTCGTTCCGAATGTTTTGAATACAAGGCGCTCGACTTGGTTATTCGAAACATTTATCTCTATCCAAAGTTTCTAGTGTGATCCTAATCAAAAACAATTTCTTCTCAAAAACCTAAGAATAACATCAACTCATCAAGTTTCTTTTTGCCTTAGGGCATAAATTCGAAATTCCTTTTTCAAGGTATAAAATCAACTAACAAACAACTATTTCACAAGTCCACGAACTACGTTGCTCTGATTTCTCATACCAGATGAGAATATATATGCACGAGACAACGATGTCTTGGCGAGAACTCTAATAAAAAACAACCCCTCTTTTCTTTTAAGCAAGCAAACTTTTAGATTAAAAACACTCATTCAATCCAAACAACTTAGAAGACTCCCATCTAGATGCGAGGGGTGCTAATACCTTCCCCTCGTATAACCGACTCCCGAACCCTAAAAATTGGTTGCGATGACCATGCTCTTGTCCTAAAGGTTTTATCGTTATTTCCCCTTCCCTCATTGGGATAAATAAAATCCGGTGGCGACTCTGTGTCATTTTTTGCGTAGCGACACTCATGGTAATACAAATCTGGTAGTGTCACGTAATTCCAAAATTTAATCATGTACTGCTTTATTGCATTCATACTAAGATCTTTTCTAGTGACATACATAATCAAAGTTGAGTCCCAAAATCTTACCTCAAATTTACTGTTAGCTTCTTTGATGTCAACTTCAACTTCTCCTTCCAGTATGTTAGGTGCGATAAACTCTATTGCAACTCCATTTGAAGGGTTTCTATTTCCACTTATAATATCGCCCCAGAGCTTGGGTGATGGCTCCTCACTATTTTCTTTTGCTTCCACTTAATGTTCTCCACCACGGGAGTAACAGGGTTTCATAGGAGTTCCTTTTTCTCATCGCAACTCTTCTCTGAGTTGGACTCAGTACCACCTGTAGATCCTCTTTCAGATTCATTTTTTCTAATACTTTGTTGTAAGATTGTGGTTAAGATCGACGAAGACGACGCCTTATTCCTCTTAGGCCTTCCCTTCCTACGACCCATATCCTACCAAAACCTCGTTACAAGACCTTTTCAAAAAAGTCTCTGACATCTAGGTCTGGTACCGTAACGGTAACCATTAGACCTTTTCAGAAAAATCTCTGGCATCTAGGTCTGGTACCATAACGGTAACCACTGCTTGGTCACTTGGTACCATAACGGTAACCATTTGTTGCATAATTCATCTAATACGTAAATTCTATTCTTAAGGTTGGAATTTCAACCTAACAAAAATTAACAATTCACATAAAAGAATCTATTTCAAATTTAATTGTTGTCTTTCTCCACCTTTTTTGGAAGATTCTTTAGGCATATAAAAGCAAAGATATTTGTATCTTCCACTTTTCTTCCTTTCAAGAATATATAACCCATCTTCTCCAATTTTCCATCTGCACCCACCTTTTCTACCCTTTATTGCTCATGTTTTGTTGTACTCTTCTTTGAGACATGGAGGCTGTTCTTCAGTCAAAAGGGTTTCTCTCACTTCCCATAAACCCCAAAAACAGATTCTTAAACCCATCACATGGCTTAAAGCATAGATTTTTCTCACCAAACCCAAAAATACTTGGTGGGGTTTCTCTAACTAATAATGGGTTGCATAAACTCAATAGCTCTATCTTAAAAGTTAATACCTTTGATCAAAAAGTCAAAAATTTGTTCATATGCAAAGCTGAAGCTGCTGCTTCTGCTGGTGGTGATGGGGAAGCAGTTTTTGATGAATCAGAAACTGAGAAACCAAACTTTTTGGGTGTTGAAGTTACCACACTCAAGAAGATTATACCTCTTGGGATGATGTTCTTTTGTATCCTATTCAATTACACAATTCTAAGAGACACAAAAGATGTTCTTGTTGTTACTGCTAGAGGCAGTAGTGCTGAGATTATACCTTTTTTGAAAACTTGGGTGAATCTTCCTATGGCTATTGGTTTCATGTTGTTGTACACAA